TGAAATACTACACATTGTCCCTTTGAGATATAAAAAGGTCACTATTAGTTCAAAATCCACCAAGAAATAAGCACACTATTGCTTCTTGTAGCTCTCTATTTCAGTTCTCATGTTTACTGCTTTCACCAACTCCATAAACACATGCAGATTCAATTCAGCAATTTAAACATCAAGAAACAATTCAACTAATTCATAAAGACAGCACAAATGAAGCCATCAAAACGTCTTTATTTACCTATAAAGTTGTTGTTTCTCACATTAATGCAACAAAAAATGTCTGCAGTTAAAACATTGCAAACCAAGTTCATTTTAAGACAAACTCTCGAACAGCCCGGAGTCCAAGAAGAAAGAGTTCTTGTGTTATTTTTGCGTGACAGGGAATGAATTCTGGTCCATTAACTCTCCAACTCTCTCCTGCAGGGTGTGAACCACCTCTGCCAGGATGAAGAGGTGTGTGTCGTCAAGGTCCTTGAGGATGAACTTCTTTCCCAGGGCCATCTTTTCATCCAGGTAGAGGAGGAACTGTTTCATAGCAGGGTCACTGTGAAAGAGAGAGGAGGAGGAGGAGGAACAACGTTACGAGTCACATTATACACAAATGTGAGGAATAATGCATCTGAACATCAGTGTTTTTCACCAGAATTTATCGATCTAGGCACAATAACAAGATACAAGGTTCACAGTTTTGCTTACCATTCAACAAGGACTCCTTTGTGTACGTTGACCATGTTGGCAGCTGCAGAGAAATCGGTAATCGATGCAAATAAAAACGATCCAAAACCTGCAGCACAGTGAACAAGCATGTGTGAACACGGCTCACGTTAGTTAACATTGGTTGAACCAGACACGAGAAGTTAGACATGTTTGTGTCTTTGAAACTACGACTGCTTTATTTGAGCCTGGTTAGCCTGTTAGCTTTAACGTCGGTTTTAAAAACAGACTACATTATAATAACTCCTGTCGGTGAAGTAACTTACTGCGATTTTTCCAGATATAAAACACAAAGATCTGCCAAGATATATCTGAGTTATCCGGCTACATTAAAGCCAAAGATGTGACCGATGTGTTCACCAACCTGCTGCTGTTGTTTCCTGTTTGTGGGATTATCGTACGGTGTGCACCGAGGGACAATCTCATGCGACACAAAATTGCGCATGTGGCTTGAACAGTATCATCCCTTATTCCTATAGTTCCCCCTGCCTGGAGAAAGTTGTATTTCAGTGCCCATTAGTAATATTGATTTTATATAGGTACGTTGTATTTCTAAGAAATTAAACAGTTTGCTGGATAAACTAAAATGTTATATTCCTGTTGTTCCATGTTATGGTTTTGTTTCTTGAAAATCTATTGTAAAGCTATTGATTAATGTCCAATATCACCATAAAGCAGCTATATTCAATGTTTTACATCTCTTACAATAGTGTAATACACCCAAGATGTTTTAAAGGGATGTATAATAAATACAGCAGCATCTCTGACTGTACACAGATTGTTATTGTCTCCAAGTTTATAAACTCATATTGCTTTACCCTAGAATAATGTACTGTGTTTATTAATATCATTTTGAGATATGCATTGCAATGCGGCTTTGCATTAAAAATGATGCAGCGCGTAGACAAGTCCAATAAAGCCTCCCAACTTCATTTATTCATTGCTAGTGGCAATTTGGACTACAAACACATGGAAATTAAAAAAACCAATGGCTTGATATTAGTCACGTAGATATAAATAAAGCAACCTGAACTAATATTAATACAGGTCCATTTGAGGTACGGTTCAGGAAGGAATATGTGTTGGCAGACAATGTGCCATACTGCAGTTAGAATAAAATACACACATTATAAAAATAAAATCGTAAAACATTGCTCTGGCTTAAAATACTGAGGAGCAAGAGTGGCAATGACATGTCAGTGCATCTTAATATCGTATGACCATTATGTGCCATATCAAACTGGTACGTTTAAGATCAAATGGGAAAAAAAAAATACAGAATACATTTTCACAATCTCAGCTTAAGTTAGTCTAAATTATCTTCTTTAAAACTTCAGTTGATCTTTAAAATGCATCTGATCAATCTAAAGGGATAAGTACACAATAATCACCCAGGTTTCTTTCATCACAACTGACAACTCTTCACAGAAATCAATGTGTAAATACATTTAATTCCCCTAATTATTCTATGATCACATTAGTGGTCGTTTATGTAAATGTACAACAAGGAGAGGCAGTAATGTTTCCATTTGGCTTGGGGTGGGTGACAGTGCTCTTCCCCATTTCAAGTAAACAGTGGGTTGTATCAGTGTGTTTGTGCTCATATATTCAGTCAGTGGCTGATGTAGCTCTGCAGCGCCTCCTGGATGAACTGGAGACTGCGTTGGTACAGAAATGAATCCTTCTTCTCTGGCTTGCAGATGTTTAGGTGATCTACATCCACCTCGATGAGATCCCCAATGCCGAGATCTGAAACCAAACCAGAGCAGGCTCGAGGTAAGAACTCAAGAAACAACATTACAGACACATAGCTGTCAAGGTCTACAGCTATGTAGAGGTTGCTTCATGCATTCATATTTAAGATGTGTCACAAATAGATGTCTTTGTCCCCCCCCATGTGCATTAGTGTTACATACTTGCAGACTGTGCTGGTACCACCAGTATCTTGATCATGGGACCAATGTTTGTTGGCAGAGTCTCTGCAAAGCTCAGCACCTTGAATTCCTTTTCTTTCGCCATGTTCAGGAAGTTCTCGTTGAGGTTGCGCAGTGCTGGCGAGTCTTAAAACACACGGACAACAACTGAGTAGAACAATGTCTCTGAAACACAAACAAACTTGGATCTCTGAATTCATTTTAATCACTTACCTTTACAGAGTTCTCTGACTTCTATAGAGGGAAAGAGCAGATATCTGACATTGACCGAGTACTCTGCCATAAAGGTGCCGTGGTGAGGAACACTATAGAACATAATGCCCTTGGTGTTCTTTAGCAGTCCGTGCATTTCTGGGTCCTGTGAGGCATCCAGCAGCATTTTCTTCACAAGCAGTCCTGATGGAAAAACAGACACAGAGAGAGACACACGATCAAATGTAGACGTGGGTTAGGGTTAGGTTAACCGTAGGTGTGAAATAATAATAAATCATTTGTTTTCCGTGTTGCATTCAAGGGATTTGAGTGAAAATCTGACATGCTTGTGGGAGGAAAGTTCTGACGAAATACCTCCCATACTGTGGGCTACCCAGACCACAGGCCGCTCTCCAACTCCTGCTAGCTTTAACTTCTTTAGCAGCTCTTGACTTCTGTAGGCCAAGGACTTCCTGAAGAGACAAAAGCAAAGAATGAATCAACAGTTCACTCACAGTCTGTTGGAATTGTACACACATACATTTGGGAGAATAACTATTTAATTTAATTAAGAACGGTAGCTTAATTAGCTTTAAATAGTCATAATGTTGTATAAGTTGTGTAAAAACAGTAACAAGAGAAGATATTTTCCCATACTTGCACAATGTATACGGGCATATGAAGACAGATTCCTCACCTCTGATTCTCAGCGGGGCACTTGGCCATCCAGTCACTGAGGTGACTGTCATACTCCACTGATAGTACTCTCAGATTTGGACAGTCATTAGCCAACCATGACTGTCAATAAAAGAAGACACAACAACACAGAAGAACAACAGTGAGAAATGATTAATATTCCTCAACATTGATTGTATTGAGCAACCCAAACACTACGCAGTCTCCTCTACAGGCGGAAAGAACAATCCATAATTGCTCCAAATATTTAATGTAATTGTTTATGGTGATCCAGAATACTCCGCAGTAATTAAAAGAATGACTGGATGGATTTTTCACCTTAGGCCAGCACTCTGTGTAGTCGTCCTTGTTTTCTGCCTCCTTCTCTTCCTCTAACATAATTCGGTCCTTCTGCCTCCACGTCTTAAAAGCTGCCCCCAGAATCCCATGGATGAAGAGCACGTCCGCTTTGATTGGCTGGCTGTAACAAGGTTGTGAAAGATGAGTCTTGGTTTACATATAAAACAAAATGAAACTAATACATTGTTAACATGATGTAGCAATAGAATTAGTTGTTTTCCTACTTGCCACGTGTTTGCGGGTGGAGGATATA